CCACAGTCATGCACCACCACCACCACCGCCGCCGCCACTGCCACCCCGAGTGTTTGTTGTCGTGGCCGCGTGCAGCACCGCAGGGCGCGCCGCTTGGTCAATGCCGCTCCATGGCAATGTGACGGTTTGTGTTTTCACACGAGACATTTTCCAAGAGACTCAACCGAAGTGAGTCAAACCTCGGCAAGAGCCCTGGCGTGTGCCGCGCTCGGTGATGATGCCGCATACCTCGCTTTAATTCCGATGCGGCGAGAGCGACCGGGTGGTGCGGGCCATCCGCTCCCAAGATGAATTCGTCTGTGATGGCCGCCTCCCCTCCGCACCTAACGGCGGTACGGAACTCTCATCCGACATTTGCGGGCAGATCATTTACGTGCAACGATAAAAATCCAACACTTTAATGGGCGCCCGTGAATAGAGCTTTAAAATGTCCTTTTAGAATGTGGCCACCGAATAAGAAATGTACCCTTTGGATTTTTCTTTTTTTTAACGGCGGGATCGCGACTTGTTCCGGTGTGCACGTGCGTGAGGCTGAATTGAAATTGAACTTTGCCGAGCCTGCACCGTCATCGGGGGTTTGTGGCAAGGCCACCGCAGTCATTGAACCGCCAGCCACCTTGATGGATGAGACGTAAATGCGTGAGAAAAAAAATACTAACAATCGGTATTAACTGTGACATCGGGCCATTGGGGCTGTTTAAAATGCCCGTCAATCCTTCTTCGATATCTCCATTCTGCAGTTTCCACACTGCTGGAAGTGTGGATTTGTCGCGAGGTTGCCGACATTTATGGTTCACTGGACTTCAGTACTGGAGTGATTAGGGCTGTTTCAAAGCCTTCCAGAGTCTTTAAAGTCTTAAGGCTGATATGAAAGGCCATGCGATGATGGACTTTTAAGGTCACCCAGGTGGAGAGTTTAAGAATCTCAGCGGGGAATCCCACCGCATTTTGGCGTCAGCGGTTCGAGAGAATTGAGATGGGAAGGGAGGAGCGGCGGTGGCGGCGGTGGCGGCGATGCCGATGCTGCTGCGATGGCCCTGAAGTTGCTGACGGCGCCGGCGATCGCATGCGGCGAAGGTGGCGGTGACACTTCCCGTTGAATGCTCGCCGAGTCCATGACGCGCACAGTGTAACAAGGGACCTTGTAACCCGAGCGTTACCACTCGTGTCCCACCCTGCTCCGGATCGATTGCGACCGCCGAATCGTCCTGTCGCTGATTTACGAGCGCGTCGCCCTAATGCAGCGCGACGCAGTCTCGTATCGTGCCGAGCCACACAATTAGCCATCGGGCGCAGAATTAACGACAGGGCCCGGGCAGCGTGAATGCGGTCAAAAACCACGTGTGTGCCGCTTGTGTTCCAAAGGTAATTGCCAAGGCCAATGAGACATCTGGGGAAGAGGCTGCATGATTTACACACAACAGCCCCGTTCGGCGATTTGAGATTTGAAAATAATAAATAATAATCCACACATCTCACCTCGGTTCATTTTGACACCAGAACAGATGTAATGGCTTGCTTTCCCAAATCTCACATTTTCCGCAATTCAAAATGGAATTAGAAAAAAAAAACGAATTCTCGCAGTTCGGATGAGCGCATCCGCGAATTTCCGTCAGCCTCTGTAATTGTCGCGGCACCACCGTCCCCGCCGTGATGTGCTCAGGCGAACCCGGTAGAACGCGCCGCCGCCTGATTATCCCTGAAATATGCAAAGTTGGGTTACTTGTGCCCCGAGATGAATAAGCCGCGGGTTAGGTTTTACATACTCGGCACACGCAAATAGGTGAGCAAATAAATGAATAAGAACGCGCGCTCTGATGATGTCGACGCCTCGCTGCACCGTCCGCAGAGGGTCGGTTGCATCTCCTGCACTGGTGCCCTCACCAGCAAAGGCCATTAGCGGTGATGTCCCGATGTTTAGCAGTTCAAGTGCCCGGTGTCTGTCGGCAGTATTTATTGCAAAAGGCCTCCTCCATTGCTTATTAGCTCAAGTTGTATCCCTGGAGGAGGCCATTATATATACACACCCACCCCCTCCCCCGCCCCAGCAAGGAATTCACAGAGCTGCTGCCGTCAAACAATATGCGGCATGGCAAGTCTTTGTTTCTACCGTTAATAAGCGTGCGCCCGCTAAGTGCTCGCACATCAGGAAGGGGCCGCGAGAGGCGACAGCAGCGACGTCACGGAGCAATGATGGCACTCGGCGCTGAGAAGCTGCCTTTGCCTCACATCGTGGCTGACTGCCGGGGCTCAGGACCCCTTTAACGCTCAATGCCCCTCCACGCCAGCAGCGGAGACTGACGAGGAAGGGAATCTGTCACCGTTCGCGTGGTCCAGCGTGCTCTCGCGTGGTTATTCATAGGGATGGATGAATGATTCAAACGGAGATTTATAACCAGGCAAGAGCCCGACGAAGAGCAACCGTCAGAATGTATCCTACAACAACAAGAACAAAACTGCTTAAGAAGAATGTTTAACATGAAATCTAGAAATGCAACACGGTACATGAAAACGAATTTGACAACAAAAAAATCCCATAGCCCCCCCCTCCTCCTCTCCCGCCCTCCCCCAAGGCAATAGTAGTAAATTGGTGTTAGAGAGTGAATTGGGACGTGCGCTAACCCCAACGAAACATGTGGATGTTTTGATTTAAAGCTTTCGTGACTGCAGGGATTCATATTCTTGGTTCTTTCTGTAAAGTCACGTAGAATAAAAATATAAAACATTAAAATGCTCACGACGTTTCGACTGCAACACAAGCAATCATCATCAGGTGTGAAAACCACAGCAAGGAAAATTTGAAAGAAAAAAAACCCCGCCACTTTTTTCAAAATTTTCTTGCTGTGGTTTTCACACCTGATGACGATTGCTTGTGTTGCAGTCGAAACGTCGTGAGAATTTTAATGTTTTATATTTGCATTACTTTATTGTTTCCCTTCTACGTGACTTTACCGAAAGAACCAAGAATATGTGGATGTTTACTTCAATGAGAGCGCAGATTGTGTGTGATGTTATAATTGACGATCGTGTTATTTCAGGAGCGCTTCCCCTGAGCCTTTAGATGTATTTTGCATGGCTCTGGCGGCAGTTGCATCCCATCAAGGCCTTCATCCACTCCCCCGTACTGCGCAGCGTCCTTGGGCTGTTGCGTATTTTTGTTGTTGTTGTTGTTATCGTGTCAGTCATGCAAAGTGCACCTCTAGACACTGTCGAGTTTATAACGCGCAGTTGAAACTACACGCAGGCGGCAAGGCAGCCAGGACTGGCGCCAAACCCCCCCCCCCCCCCCAAAAAAAAATCCCCAAGCTCTATGGTCCTATATTGTGATGTTTGGCCAACTCTAGATGCTCACAGACACCGGGCAATCGCCTCCTATGAGCCTCGCCATGCGCACGCGCACCTCTGCGACCCACGGCAGCTCCTCCACCTCTGCTCCGAAGGGAGTGCCGCTCACGGGCGCTGGCGGGGGCCGTGAGCGGCTGGGGTCGCCGGTTCTCCCGCCAGCGCAATCAGCCGGCGGGCACGGTAATGGTTGGACGAGCTTCGCTCTCTCAGCAAAGCTTCCGTGGCTTTAAACTGGCGGCAACGCGGAGACAGCGATTCTCATTAGTGGGGATTTTTATTTTTTAATTCTTCTCCTGTACTGATTAACACAAAAAAAATCTTCAAAGGAGCTGATGAAGCCACCGCTGCTCGAATAAGTGGTTGTGCGGTGGCAACGATCACTCTCACCAATTTACATTTGCACCTCCGATTAGCACGGTTGGCTACGTACGGTGCGAAATAAGTTCCAACATACATGCATGCACGTGTCCCGTCTGTGTCTGCTTACAGTTTTGCAGTGACTCAACCGCGGTGTCGACATGTCAGCATCGATGTGTGTAAATATATACAATCATGGTTAATTTACGTTGTCATGGCAGTCGCCGGCTCAATTCCATCTTTCGCTGCCGCAGTTAAAATAATGGCGCAAGTTTCTTAAGCACCACTTTCCCCCCGCTCGCACGCCCGTCCATCCGTCCGCCCGGCATCCTCTGTCCACCGAGAAATGTGTGTGTGGTGGGGTATAATGTGGCCCCCTTCCCACCTATTCCAAACACCCTCAATAGATAAGAGGCTTTTCCCCTTTTTATGGCAATAAAACCAACAAAACAGTTGTGTTGAATTGTTAAAACACCAAACTGAAACCTTTTACAAGAAATCATGTCTGCATTTACCACATTGCTTGTGGTCAGAAAGCAGACAAAAACATACTCTGATATAGAGTTCGCTGTAGCGAATTCCCTTCCACTAGAGAATCGGAAGTTTTATTTACCCTGGAGAAATCCGATGACCTATGGAACTCTCTTTCATAGATGTCAAGAGGTGATGTGAGCAAGTAATTGCAGGGCTGCACCTTTATCCATTATACTGCCTGGTGTTATCTTGTACTGTGTCGAGGACCGTGCAATTAGGTAGGGAATTCAAGACGCTGTTGAGAATGACCCGCTTTTAGGAGCACATTTCATGGCAATATAGTTTACCTTGTTCAACATTGTTTTTGCTCATTACAGCAACGGTGTATTTGTGTATAACACAAAACATCATTCACGAATACTTGAAGGCGTGTGCGAATTAAAGATTCCATTCATAACGGCTCGTTGTATCGGGATTTAGACGCGCGCACACACACGAATGTTTACACTCGTGCATGTTTATTTTGGTATAAAAAAGGCAATGCAAACGACAATTACGAACGTCGGAGGCAATGAGTAAATAGGTGGGGAAAATGAGGTCGAGCGCTCTGGGGGGGATTAACAAAAACGAAAGTGTAAACAACCCGTGCAGCGCGCGTTCCCCTGCAGTTTCATTCATCCACACTCCTCACGCTGCGAGTCTCGGCCACCGGAGACGTTTGCTCTGGTGCGCGCTAAAGCCCCACGTTGAAGCTCCGAGTTAAAGCGGCGTCTTGCGCTGCCGCCGCTGCTGTTCTGTGTCTCCCGCGCGTGCTCCCTCCGCAGTACGCCCTGTGGCTCGTCTTCTGGGTGACTTGGAATATCTTCATCATCTGTTTCTACCTGGAGGTGGGCGGGCTGACTCGGGTAAGAGCTTTGCACGCTCGCCACGCCGCGTCACTGCTCGCGACACCACCACCACAACCACCACAACCACCACAACCACCACCACAACCACCACCACAACCACCACCACCACCACAACCACCACAACCACCACCACCACAACCACCACCACCACAACCACCACCACAATCACCACAATCACCACCACCACAACCACCACAACCACCACCACCACAACCACCACAACAACCACCACCACCACAACCACCACCACCACAACCACCACCACCACCACAACCACCACCACCACAACCACCACCACAATCACCACAATCACCACCACCACAACCACCACCACCACCACCACAACCACCACAACCACCACCACCACCACAACCACCACCACCACAACCACCACCACCACTACAACCACCACCACAACCACCACCACAACCACCACAACCACCACCACAACCACCACAACCACCACAACCACCACAACCACCACCACAACCACCACCACAACCACCACCACAACCACCACCACCACAACCACCACAACCACCACCACCACAACCACTACCACCACAACCACCACCACCACAACCACCACAATCACCACAATCACCACAATCACCACCACCACAACCACCACAACCACCACCACCACAACCACCACAACAACCACCACCACCACAACCACCACCACAACCACCACAACCACCACCACAACCACCACCACAACCACCACCACAACCACCACAACCACAACCACCACAACCACCACAACCACCACCACCACAACCAAACAACCAGCACCACAACCACCACCACAACCACCACCACCACCACAATCACCACCACCACAACCACCACCACAACCACCACCACCACCACAATCACCACCACCACAATCACCACCACAATCACCACCACCACCACAACCACCACCACCACCACAACCACAACCACCACCACCACAACCACCACCACCACAACCACCGCCGCCGTCGTTACGCGTATGGCGTGCCGATCGCCCCTCCTCCCTGGGCTATTTCGTGTTTGTGGAGGCAGCGCACCCCCGTTGATTGATTTATCCGAGCCACCGGTGTTCCGGTGGCTCCATTAGGGCCGCGCGCAGGTTTGTCTGCTGGGCGGGGAGGCAGGGCTCCGTGTGACGGGATGCGATGCGGCGAAGGCTCTTCGCTCTCCCCGTCTCCTGCAAGACGACGGCGCCGCTCCGTCGCGCGTGCCGCTCGCGCGACGGAGCGATGGAGCGACGGAGCGATGGAGCGTGTGTGTCTGCGCGTGCATTGTTGGACTTCTTTCGCGCCGCACGTAGCCGACGGCGCCTAATCGGAGGTGCGGGAAGTGAGCGTCGCAGGACCCTGAGAGGTGCCGGTGGTTTTGGGGGAGGCCTTCAAGCAGCAGCGGATTGACCGTGACCCATGACGACGATGATGATGATGAATGTTTGAAGTTTGCTGAGACGTGTAGCACATTTTAAACCACACTCGGGTGAAATGTGTGTGTGTTTTTTTTAATACAAAATACTTGCACATGTTTAGTAGCGCTGTTCATAACAACGCGTTGCCATCACGTATAGTTAAGGTAATTTATACTTAAAATGCATGACAAGTGGCTCTGTGCTACACACTGTGTAACAGGGCACGCTGATATTTTGTGCTGCAAAATATTCAAAATGCACAATGGCCAAGCGCACCATTATTTTGTTAATGCTTTCAAAAGCCTTTTTGTCAAAAAGTACTTTGTTTTTCCAGTCGCTTAAAAGGAAGGAAATTCATTTTGGCTGGACGCCCCCCCTCCGCCCCCCATCGCAAACCCTCCAGTGAAATGTGTCACGACGATGCCGAGTCACGTCGCTAAACCGCGCATAATCGCGAAGTGTTTGGCCGCTCGTAAATAGCCGCTTTGCCACTTTAATAGAAGCGGCAATAAATCAGGAAGCGTCAAGCTGTGCCCGACGAGCCGAGTGTGAGCAGCTTTCCCTCTGTGAGCGCTCAGGGAAACGAATTCACCCACAATGCCGTGAGGCAGGGACAGCTGGCGGAGGGAGCAAAGTTTTTGTAGAAATTCTAGAATCTTTCCCCCCCCCCCCACCACCCCCCCCCCCCCATTATTTTAAAGTTTGTTTTATGCATATATTAAGCACCTGCTTAAGATTGACTTTGTGACGGCTCAAAAGCCCTGGGCGACTCTCGCCCTCTTCTCAAGAGAATGAGAAATATTTCACACATATGCGAGAGAATGGCTACGTCGTCACGAGCGAGATAAGGATGACACAGAAGTATGCATTGCCTCTTTTGCAGCTTCTTGATTCCCCGACGATGCAAACATTTTTTTTACTCTGGCGGCGGATGCATAATGCAACAGAATGGCATCTTAAGCAGCTCCGACTCGCCAAATTGCCCGATGCGAAGATGCAAACACGCGCCTCAGTGTCGCACACAGAGAAGGGGCATGAATGCGAATTCACTTTTCAACAGATGTAACTTTGAAGATTAATTCTTTAAGTTCTGGAATTGCTAAACATCGCGTGAAATTGTAAGTTTTTTGGTTTTGGCTTTAACCTGCCGATTGTCATCTGCCGAAGCATAGGCTGAGAAAAATATTAATTGGGATTGCGTTTCCTGATTAACAACAACAACGCACTTGTGCAATGCCATTGTGTTACATCGGCGTTTTTATATTTTTTAACGCAGCACATGTATTGAAAACCCATAATGCATTGATGTAAAAGCCAACATTATATCACATGCTAACATTTAAAGTAATCTATGCTTAAATTGTCATTCTCCCCACGCCGTGTCGGTCATGGGGGGGGTGGGGGGTTGTTGGCCATACTTCACCATTCTTAACCAAATTATTTTGGTGATACTCTTTGGTTCTTTCGGTAAAGTTACTAAGGTATAAAATAAAAGAAATAACTATTTGGAGATACTTCATCAGCAGGGGTGCACAAGCACAAACAACGACAAGAAGTCAACACATTCCTCAATAACCCTACACAAAAATAAAAAGTATGCACGTCAATACCCCGATTTACATCTCTCTCGTTTACATCGTTTCGCAAATACGCCGTCAATTTATTATCACCACGAACTCAACCCCACACTCACCACGTCGCTGACAGCATCATCATCATCCGTCCTCTCTCGTTACACCCTTCACCACGTCGCTGACAGCATCATCATCATCATCCGTCCTCTCTCGTTACACCCTTCACCACGGCCGCCTTACCCTGTGCATCGCTTTCATTGACGTCGTTTCGATATTAGTCGTGGCACCTTTCACGAGCGCATCCCCGACGCAAACCGGGGTGTTACTGTTCAGTAACAGGTGATGTTTTTGGACAGTGCCTCTCTTTTTTTTTTGCATAGCACAAAGGGAGGCGATTTGGCCGAGTGGTCAGTGCACCGAGCAAGTCTCGTTCAGACTTTGCTCCCGCCGGCGTTAACCGCGGCCACGCGAATAGAAACTCAAACCCACTCTTTCGATAGCCGTCAACGCGTGCACCCTTTACGTTACCACGGGACACCTTGGCCGAGCCTCGAGACGAGTCATCAGGAGGCTCTTTGCTCGGCCTTCGCGGAGGCGTTGCGCGCGCCAGGGATGTCCACGCGGTGTTGTCCTCGACACGACCTCCGAGGCGTCGCGTCACAGACTTCGCTCTCTCCGCCGCAGATGAAATCCATTTCAAGTTGTGAATACGAACATCTAACATCTTGCCGAGAGTATTGCTCCTGAGCTGAGTCGCCTAGACTCTGCAGACTGCATAACAAGAGACAGCCTGCATCGCACCAAAATTGCACATCATTAATATTAAAATATTGTGCTGAGCTTGCAGGAAAATAATGATCGTGCGTGTCAGTCATCCCAGTCATCACAATCATCTCACCTGGGTCTGTGCCGTGACCCTGCTGGAAGCAGCCAGCATTCCAAACTTCACGTGGCCTCAAAATGCACCTAGCCTGGCATAAGCATTGTGGTAACGTCACCGCCACGAATTGGCGATTGGTGGCTGTTGTGATTGTTGTTGTTAAATACGTGTTCACATTCTCAAAAAAATTAAGATACGCTTGGTGCGTTTCTTCTGAAGACAGAAAACATTCCTGGCCAGTTATTTCACAATATGCCCAGTCTCACATCGTTTCGTATCGCGAACACGTCCTCTCTCTGAGTGATCTCTCGTGTTTACGTAAGAGTTGAATGTATTGCTATTTATCCCCGTTTAATTTATTAACTTCGCTTTAAAGTGACCATTGACATCTGTTTCATGAAGGTTATCCTCCTGCTGCACTTGCATTTCAAAAGTAGCGCTCGTCATTGTCAACGCAATCGCATCGCCATCCTTCCTTCTGCTTCACAATCCCCAACCGCCTCTCACCAGCCAAACCCCCCCGACACAACCACCTCACTCCACCACCTCACTCCACCACCTCACTCCACCACCTCACTCCACCACCTCACTCCACCACCTCACTCCACCACCTCACTCCACCCTGCTCACCTGGCCTCATCAACGCACCCGACGTGCGTTCCCGATTTTTTTTTTTTTAAAAAACGCTGTCAGGCCCACAGACGGACAGCGGGCATTTTATTTTTCGGCGGTGGTGGCGGCGGAGACGCGCTCCGATTGCTTCGCTCCGCTCGCGACGGCGACATCGGGTGAGGTGGGTGGATGGGTGGGTGGGTGAAGTGGGTGAGTGAGGTGGGTGAAGTGGGTGGGTGGATGGGTGGGTGGGGTGGGTGGGTAGGTGGGTGACTGGGTGGGTGAAGTGGGTGGATGGGTGTGTGAAGTGGGTGGGTGGGTGAGGTGGGTGGATGGGTGACTGGGTGGGTGGGTGAAGTGGGTGGATGGGTGTGTGAAGTGGGTGGGTGGGTGAGGTGGGTGGATGGGTGGGTGGGTAGGTGGATGGATGGGTGGGTGAAGTGGGTGGGTGACTGTGTGGGTGGGTGAAGTGGGTGGATGGGTGGGTGACTGGGTGGGTGGGTGAAGT